GCATATACTGTGATTCGAAATTTAAAAAACGGACATATATTATCTAATTGACGAAAATGTGTGTTCAACGTTCTACATCGATTAAATTATTTAGACAATGATTCAGAATCGTATCATAAATAAGAACATTAATAAAATAAATGAGTTTTTTTGCCGGACGGGTTTGGCGGGACGGGTTTTTGAATCAACAATAATAAAAAAATTAAAATATCATTAATCCGCCGCTTCAATACGGATTAAATCTTCTTTTTTAATACCACAAATATTAGACATATTAAATCAGTCTCATTTAGAAAAGATTGTATAAAACCAAAAATTGTCCCGTGGTATAATGTCCCGTGGTCTTAGAGGATGATATGATTTGTAAACTTTTATATATAATAAATAATCATTAAATTTTAAAATAAAAACAAATCACGGGATGGGTTAAAAAATTACGGAACAGGTTATATTTCGGAAAAGATTTATATGGCGGACGAATTTGAATCAATATTTATATACCGCTTTAATACGGGTTAAATCCTCCGTTTATTAATAATTGTCTCGTGGACTCGTGGTATACCGTTACTTAATAACAATTATAAACTATAATATAAATAAATATGTTATAAGGAGATACAATTTACAAAATATTTTTATACTAATTTTAAAATTAAATCATCCCGCGGTATACCGCGGGTTAAAATCTAGTCTATACTAGTATTTTTACAGTCATTTTGGTGACGAGTGGGTAAAAATGTTCCCGGGTTATTTGGATACCCGACCCGTTTCTAAATTTTAGTCATAAAAAGTTTGTTGGGTTGAGTTATATTTAACCCAATTCATACACCGGATATTCCATATTTAATAATTTAGATATTTAGAAGATTTGATTAAGATTTAGAATTATGATTCTCCTATCATCTTTGTTTGATTTGTTTTTAACTGTTTTGAATCATCATATAATACATAAAGTTTTTTCTGCATATACTGTGATTCGAAATTTTAAAAACGGACATATATTATCCAATGACGAAAATGTGTGTTCAACGTTCTACATCGATTAAAATATTTAGACAATAATTCAGAATCATATCATAAATAAGATCAACATTAATAAAATAAATGAGGTTTTAGGCTAGACGGGTTTGGCGGGACGGGTTTTTGAATCAACAAAAATAAAAAGATTAAAATATCATTAATCCGACGCTTCAATACGGAATAAATCCTTAATTTTTTTTAATACCACCAATATTAGACATATCAAATCAGTCTCATTTTGAAAAGATTGTATAAAATAAAAAATTGTTTCGTGGTATAATGTTACTTAATAACAATTGTAAACTATAAAATATAAATGTCTTTGAAAATGATACAATTTACAAACTTTTATCTATAATAAATAATCGTTAAATTTTTTAAAATTACTACTTTTAGAAAACAAATTACGGGACGAGTTAAGAAATTACAGGACGGGTTATATGGTGGACGAGTTTGAATCAACATTTATAAAATTTTAAAATATCATTAACATGTCGCTTTAATATAGATTCAATCATTAGTTTATTAAAATATAAATGTCTTAGAGAATGATATAATTTATAAACTTTATATATAGGCCATGAATGTTTATAGTTTTTAAAATAGTTTTTGGATTTTGGATTTTGGTTTTTGGTTTTTAGTTTTTGATTTTTTTGGTTTTTGTTTTTGGTGTAGATTTTAGTTTTTTAAAAACTTGAATGGTAATTTGTTTAGATTTTGGTTTTTATGTTAATGGATAATATTTTCTTTACAAAAAAATTTTAAAAAAAAGAAATAAATAATATGATCGATGGTTTTTGAGGGAGAAACTCAAAAAACATGGATTTTGGTTTTTCTTTGAAAAATTGTTAAAACACTTAAAAACTAGATTCCCTATCTTTTAGGAAAACTATTTTTACAAAATCTTGAATGGGTGAGAAATGAGTTTTTCAAAAACAAAAACCAAAAACCATTACAAAAACTAGTAAACATTCAAGGCCATAATAAAAAAGCATTAAATTTTAAAATCACTACTTTTAGAAAGCAAATCACGGGACGGGTTAAGAAATTATGGGACGGATTATATTTCGGAACGGATTTATATGGCGAACGGGTTTGAATCAATAATTATAAAATTTTAAAATATCATTAACATGCCGCTTTAATACGAGTTAAATCCTCAATTTATTATTGTTCCGTGAAACTCGTGATATACCGTTACTTGATAATAATTATAAACTATAAAACATAAATATTTTATAAGGAGATACAATTTATAAATTTTTTATATATATTAACTTTAAAAAATAAATCATCCCGCGGTGTACCGCGGGTTAAAATCTAGTATGACAATAAAAAGTTACGAGGGGAACAGAATAATTTGATCGTGAGAGTAATTATATATGCAAATGCCAACCCATCTCGAGGTAATCTAGATTTGAAGAGTCTCTCCAAATCTTGAGGCTAAATCCATAAAAAATTGTCCCAATCAAAACGTAACTCAAGTGAAGGTTAGAGACACTTCAAAACCTAGATTAGTGCATGTTGACAGAAAGTGTGGCAAAAATACATGTGAGACTGAAGGATTCAGCAACACAATCCTAAATTGAAGTGTGGGAGACATTCAAAGAGAGTGTGATTGTTAAGGTAGCGCAAGCACCGCAACAAGAACAAGATTTCTGATTATCACGTTTAATGTTCATGATTTGTGGTCACACATCCCCAAAAACCCAAACAAAGTGTTTATTCTTCTTTGAGGTTCACTTCTGTGTAAAGTGAGTTTGGAGTGTCTTCGTACTTGCTTCACTAACCATATATAGTTGTACTCGATTGGTTCACTAACCATAACTTTGTAACAACTATTTTTCTTTAAGTTTGAACAGTTCTATCCTTCTTCAAATGTGTGTTTGGTTAATGCTAAGAACTAAATGGATGTCTTGCTTAAAAGAAGACAGATTTTGGAATTATGTATCAAAGGTGCTTCATGAGAAGATATTTTAAACCAATTCCTGTGGATAATTGAAGCAGGCAGATGTTTATTCTATACCATCCAATAAAATCCTTGGTTATGTTTCTTCAGTCAAGTTTAGTGCGAGATTAAGTGGAATTAATTACGTCACGTTAGAGCACTGAGACAAGACATCATTTGGTGATCAATGAGGAAAAACCCAACTTCTAAATATGAAAATATATAAATAGGAAATCAACAAAACATACCCTTAGAATAAAGAAATATAAATGTGCAAGATAATGCATTATTCATTGCCAAGAGGTCCACTTGAGTTATCCATTTCTTTCTTACCTTTGGTTTTTTGTTATTCGAAGATTTGTTTTTTTTTTTTTCTTTACTAATATGCATATCATTTAAACATACTTTAATCATACCACTTGAATCTAGCAGCATATTGAGGAAAGATGATTCTGATTCGAAACATATATTAGGTCTGGTATTTCATCACTAATGGATAAGGGTATCTGATCTTAGTTTAGTTCAAATAAAAAGGGAATTAATGTTATAAAAAAAAAAATATTTATATCCAATGACAAAAAGTTGGATGTAAAATTTAGAATTAATATAGTATAATTGTTGATCTATTTCTAGACACGCTTGGATAAAAAAATAACTTTGGTTTAATTGTTACGGGACTAATAATTCCCCAGTAACATATTATTCTCTTATCTGGGACCTAACTAATTAAGTGGAGATTAGAGTTTAAAATTTGGATTAAGATTTTCATAACAATTTGGAATTATGAAATATTGTTTTTGTCTTATTTCCTTTTACTTAAAAAAAAAACATTTTTGATTGTTGTTTACTATTTCCCCAAATTTTGTAATTTACGTAACTGACTCAATAAAAAAAAGAATCACTTAATTATTTCTCTACAATTAAATTTTTTTTAACAGATATATAAAAATTCAAGAAATGAATATGAGTGTAGGAAACACATTTCGAGTACAAATGAAATCTGAACTTGAACAAAGACCAAAGTAAGGCAGGAAGAGTAAGACATAACTAATGTGATTTTGAGTTTAAGTGAGGATAAGTTTAACTTCTAAACCCATAAGGGTAATTAAAGACAAGTTACATGCATGGCCTTGTTCATGTTTAAGGGTTGGGTGGTTGTCTAGCTAGACAAACTAGATTTCTTAGACTTTTAGACCACTCATCAGCAAGTGTCTTCCATATCGAATTACATTGTCAAGTAACATGGCATTCAGAAGGCACAAACTAAAGGTGGCATTAGCCATCGAGTTTTTCTTTGACCTTTGTTATAGTTGAGACCGAAATACAATCGGTCTAAGGGACCTTAAAAGTTAAATCAAATGTTTTGTGTTACACAATTTGCCTAAACTAAGTTACAAATGGCTAAGTGATTCCTCTAACCTAATTAGTTACACGTGGTGTTAAGATTCATCTAATAACGTACACATTTGCATTAAGTGATTTGCCTAGTTGTAAATGATAAATGCTTTTCCCAAACAATGGTTTTCGTAATTTTTTTTATTAATACATATTAGAGGAAAGTTAACTTCACTCATTGCATAAGACATAATTGGGAGAAAGAGAGAGAGAGTGTGTCGGAATTTTACAAAATGGCAATAGAGAAGATCATAATGAAGAAAATGTTATTTTAACCATTTTATTACGATCATAAAACCATTTAATTTCGTGCACATATTCTTAAAATTATTTTAACAAAAAAAAAACTTTTAAAATTATTATATTTCCATTTAGCAAAATTTCTCATATCCAACACACACACACATATATATATTTATATATATATATATATATATATATATGCACCTTTTTTGTTACTCATATCTTTCCATTATAATATTCGAGAAGATACGTAGACGTATTATTGAGCAAACAAAATAATGCTATTTTTCTTTTAAATCTAACTTTTGATGACTATAAAAAGAACCATTTGCCATTTGGTTTTGTATGCTCAAACAAGTAACTCTTAGTCGTTCACGAAACATCTCATATCTAGAGAGAGAAACAAAACAATCTATATAGAATCATATAAGTGTAGCTCTCAAATCAAGGAAGAAAATGAAAGGAGGAGAAAAACAATATGGGAAGATGGATAAATTGAAGCCAATACTAGCAATCATATCACTCCAATTTGGATATGCAGGCATGTACATCATCACTATGGTCTCCTTTAAGCATGGCATGAACCATTGGATCCTTGCTACTTACCGTCATGTCGTCGCCACAATTGTCATAGCTCCTTTTGCTCTCATTCTCGAGAGGTATGTATACATCATGATGTGTATGCATGGTTTGGTTATATTATCTAAAGCCATGGTGGCTATATATATAGATGATATGTAAGTGTCTCAATACTACTTTATCTCATTTTTTTCAGGAAAATAAGGCCTAAGATGACATGGCCATTGTTCTTTAGGATTCTTGCCCTCGGATTCCTAGAGTAAGCTCCGTATACATAAATCTTATCCCCTTTTCATGTGTATATAATAGTATATATATGCAAACACACTCACACACACACATATATATATATATATATATATATATATATATATATATATATATAATAATTAAGTGAGACTTTTATATCTACTACACATAATTTCTTGCTTTGCATTCCAATTATTAAAGGGTTTTGAGGAACAAAGGTGAATGAAAAAATGAGACGTTTGATATATTTTCCGCGATAAAATATGCGTTGTAAATAAAATTTATAATATTTGTTGTGCTAGTTGTGGAACATTGAAAAATTATGCTATATTTAGAAACAAAACTTATTTTTATGCTATTTATGAAAATTGCTCTTTTAATAAAGTTTTTTCATATAGATGAATCATTAAATCATACAAAGCTAAATACACCATATAAAAGAATTTTTAGGAGAATAATCTCAAAAAACTTTTTCAAAAAAAACCATATAAAAGAATATTATATTGGTCGAATCAACATGAAAAGATTCTAATCATTTAGCAACAAAAAAAAAAAGATTCTAGTAATGAATATTCTTGATTAGATCATCACCCATTGCCGTCTTCTCATAGCTATGTGTTTTTTACTTTATCTTTTAACTTGAAGAGAATGCTAATGAAAAAAAGAAAGAATATGATTGGTTAAGCAGAAAATGATGCAAAATTAAAGCATATGATTAGATATAATTTAATAATATAATTTAATAAATTTGTAAATGTTGGTTGTCTATTTAGACCACTTTTGGACCAGAACTTGTACTACATAGGAATGAAAGCCACGTCAGCAACGTATAGTTCTGCCTTTGTTAATGCACTTCCTGCAATTACCTTCATAATGGCAGTCATTTTCAGGTAATTTTGCTTTTTAACCAATCAATTAATCATTTTCTGAAATTTTTTTTACTTCCATTCTTATAATATTTACTAGTAAACGTAAATTTTATTATCATTAATTTAAAATTTTGCTTAATTTTATTAGGATAGAAACTGTAAACTTGAAGAAGACACGAAGTCTTGCAAAAGTGATTGGAACAGCAATAACTGTGGGAGGAGCTATGGTTATGACGTTGTACAAAGGTCCAGCCATTGAGCTCTTTAAGAGTGCTCATACCTCTTTACACGGCGGCTCCTCGGGTAGCTCCTCCGAGACCACTGATCAGAATTGGGTTACCGGAACTCTAGCTGTTATGGGTAGTATCACAACTTGGGCAGGTTTCTTTATTTTACAAGTAAGCAAAGATTATTTTACTATTACAAATATTTGAATCACTATAACATAACAAAGAGTGGTACCAAATCTCTATTTTGACTACAAAGTGACAATAGAAAAAAAGAACTATAGTTCGCAAATTAGTCTATGCTTTAAGATAAGATTTTACATGGTAGTGGTGTATTTTGAAGATTGAAATTTTTTGTTTAATTGTTCAGTCGTTCACGTTGAAAAAATATCCGGCGGAGCTATCACTAGTGATGTGGATTTGCGCCATGGGAACGGTCTTAAACACCATCGCTTCGCTCATAATGGTGCGAGACGTGAGCGCATGGAAAGTCGGTATGGACTCGGGCACACTCGCGGCTGTTTACTCCGTAAGTTTTCACCGTTTACTAGCTATTAAACCAATCTAATTATAATCACGCTAGTAACAATTGTTGTATTACTATGTTAATTAATCGAATGATCGATTAAATATCAGGGAGTTGTTTGTTCGGGTATGGCGTATTACATACAAAGCATTGTGATTAGGGAACGAGGCCCGGTTTTTACGACATCATTTAGTCCTATGTGCATGATAATCACTGCTTTCCTCGGCGTGTTAGTTTTGGCTGAAAAGATTCACCTTGGAAGGTAAATATACATTACATAATTAATGATCTTTTAACATCTACAACTAACACGGCGATGAAACTAGTACAAACGACTAGATTACAATCAATATGTAACTAATTAGTTGTTTAATTTTGTAAATGCAGTATAATCGGGGCGATTTTCATCGTCTTTGGGCTATATAGCGTGGTGTGGGGAAAAGCTAAGGACGAAGTGATTTCCGCCGAAGATAAAATAGGATTGCAGGAGCTGCCGATTACAAACATCTCCACAAAAACAGAGGGTGGTGGTATGCCCAGTGCAGTAGACAAAAGTGTGGCTAACAAAACTTAAGTGTAACCCCAATTAAAGGAAATTTTTGAAGACCAAATTTCTGAGAAGGGAAATTTGTTTATCTTTCTTGTTTTTTTTATGTTGTTTACATTTTCAAGTTGTCTGTGTTAACTATAAGATTAAACTATATAATCAATGTTGTATATTTTTTGTAATTGTGGAGTATCGCGGAAATTGAGGAAATCTCAATTTGGTAAATTTACAAAATATATAACCACAAGTTTAATTTGAAAGAAATGTCTATCGTTAGACGTCAAATATAAGCTTATTGTTGACAAGTATTATCTTTCAAAGCCTATGACCGTAGTGTTGTTGTTGGAACATGAAAAAGCAATGTAAAAGTTTTTGAAGGAACTTCAAGTGTAAAAAGATCAAAGTTTAACTGACAAAATCATAACCATTCTAAACTTTAGATGAAACCTAATTTAGTGTTATAATGCAAGTATTAAAATTCATATCCTAATGTCATAATTATGATTAACACCTTAAAAAGTGCAAAATATCACCACTCTACAACAGTACATAGAGAAGCTAAGCTACATTGTTCCTGCGACAAAGCTAAGCACAACCAACGATCTTACAATTACTCGCTTTTCTCTTCACCACCATCCTCTGCATCCAAACCAAACAGTTTTAAGAAATATATTCTGCTGAAATTTGATGTAAATGATTTAAAGGAAACGAAAAAGATTCGCACCAGTGTTTGGTTCTCCTTCGTTTTGACTTCCTTCTCCGCCATCTTCATCACCTACCTCGTCTTCTTCTTCGTCTTCATCTTCTTCTACTACTACTTCTTCATCCTCATCCTCCTCATTCTCAGAATCTTCTGATTCATCGCTCTCGCTTTCTTCTGCTTTTATCGGCTTTGGAGGAGGTACAAAACTTGCGGTGGATCTTCTCCTCGAACTCGACACAATGTTGCTTGTATCAATACCCTCGAGCTCCTTTGTTCTTTCTTTTCTTTTTTTGACTTCCTTGATCTCTGTCACCAGGTAAAACCATATAGATTGTCATTAGTTTTAAACATCAACAATTTCATCATCTGCGTATTTTTCGCTCTAGAATATCTCGAAATCTCCGGTTTCCTGCAGGTAGAGGAAACTTCCTAAATATAAACATTACCTTTCTCTGAAGGATTTGCAGACAACCCTTCTTTGGCGAGTAACTCCTTAAGTTCTTTTATCAGAGTTTCCTCGCGCTTCTCCTCAGGAGCCTGCTTGGCCTTCCTGTAAACCGATGGAGAAATACTGCCAAGAAAGACAACAAATCAAGGGCCTGGAGTATGAACCACAAAGCTTTTAAAGATCTACCGGGTTTGATTAAAAACCTCATTCCACAGGATTTGATGATCGACTTAAGTTGCTCAACACGCCTCCCATAGCCAGTCGTCGGAGTTTCCTGTTTCTGCAGTTAAAAGATTTCAGAAGACCAGAAACAAAACAATGTAAAATTGTGCAGTTTTAATAGGATTCGAAGGAACTACTAAAAAGCTGCTATACCTTCACAGATTTTTCTGAAGATGATGCCTTCTCTCCTGCATCACTGTCACTCTGTGAATCTGTTTGTTTTGTCTTCTTTGCAGATGCAAGTTTCTCCTTTTCACGTTTCCGCTTTCCGGTTCCCTCTGACTTTGACGATTTTCTTTTCTCAGCTGTCTTCTTCTTTTTTACAGCGACTTCCTTGTCCTCCTCCTCGTCCTCACCATCTGAATCAGACATTTCTTCACTGTCTGAATTTTTAGCTGGTGTGCTCTTGACCTTCTTGGTTACAGTTTTCCTCTGAGCCTTAGTTGAAGATTTTGTAGCTTCAAGAGCTTGTAGTATCTAATTAGCAAAGAAAAGTTATAAGAAGACTGTGCCTTTCAGTTATAACTTGTAAGATACACAGCTAATTATAATTACTCACTTCATCTAGTTCTCCATTAATGAATTTCTTGTAGGGGTCAAGAGAGTACTTCTCTAATTTAAGATCTTGCTCCAAAAGTCGACGAAGTAAGCCCATTGTAATTTTCCTGAAACAACGCAAGCGATTTTAAACCAAGAAAACTTCATTTCCCAAAATCATTGAAGATAGCAAACTAAACATATCGAAAAATATCTCCTAAGGTTAAAATATGGCATTTGAGAAAGGACGTTAGAAACGAAGACAGATTCGACTTACTCTGAATTAGCCTTAATATAAGAAGCCCTTTTACGAAGGGCTTTTTTTATATCACTCTGTAGGACCTCTTTTCTGTCCTCATCCTTTGTTTGCTCAGCTACAGATTGGGATGCGTTTTCTTCTGTCAGAAGTCCCATAACAGGAGAATCCTCCGTCTTCTCATCATCACCAGTTGTATCTTTCTTGACATCTGTTTTCGCCTTGTTCTCATTAGATAACTTTTCCGCTTCTTTCACTGGAGTTGCATCATCTTTCTTCTCAGTTTCTTGAGAATTTTCTGAAGTTTCATCATTCTCAGCACCTTCTAAGCACTGTTATCACCAAGAAAACATATCAAGGCATAATTAGTCAGCTAGCGATTAGTAACATATTTTCTCTGTTTTATGCAAAATTTGGCATTAACTATAGCAAAGGATACCTTATGCAAATGTTGTTTAACAAAGCTCTTATGCGCATCCAAAGCATGTTTCTCCAATTTCAGATCCTCCTCCAGCAACCTCCGCACACCCTCAAAGGTGAAGTCGCTGCAAAAAGCAAATTTCAAATGATTCTGCTTTCCATAAATCTTTCTCGAAAATCTCTGACAATTATCAGAAACCCTTTAAACCATAAATTGGAGATATCATCAATCTTTAACCATTCCATTCTATGCAGCATTGCAGCCCTCGTTTCTCCACAAAATCAAACTCTTAAGCATCACCAAACCAATCTTATACAAACCTATCCTACCAAAGACAGTGATTGCTACTCGAACAAACCTAAATTTTCATTTCTCCGTTTCAACCCAGCTTTCACCAAATTTATGCTTTGGAACCATAGCGCTTTAGTTTCTCCACAAAATCAAACCCTACATCAACACCAAACTAATCTTCTACAAACCTAGCCTACCATGGACAGTGAAAGCTACTCAAACATCTCAATTCACAGACATAGATTCTCATTTTATTCATTTAAACCATCTTTCACCGAGTTCAACAAACATCACTGACCATAAAACCTAGTCTCTCCACAAAATCCAACTCTAAATCACCACCAAACCAATCTTAAACAAACCTAACCTACCATAGACACTGAATGCTACTCAAACATCTCAATTCACAAACCTAGATTCTCATTTTCTTCGTTTCAACAATATTTCAACAAACATCACTGAGACCATAAAACCTAGTTCAACAAAAATCCAACTTTAAATCATCACCAAATTCAACAAACATCGCTGATAGCTCCATGAAATCGAAGCTTAGAGAGATGAAGAAAACAACAATTCTTACTCAGCTTTATCTCTGAGGTAGGTTACTCGGGACTGCATAGCCGCGAGAATCTGAGACTCGATAGCTGTTGTTGTTGCCTCACCGTCCTTCGAATCAATCTTCTCGCCGGAGATCTCCATAGCCGAAGTCGTCGTCGAGTCGCCAGACATTTCTCTCAGAAGAACTAAGTCCGGTGGAATCTATGTGTTGGTAGAAAAAAATCACATTTACCTCTCTCAGTGTCAATCGAACATTTGTAGAAGATATTAGTCAATTTTTTGTGTTTCTGTAGAAGTCAAAGGGCATATTTGTAAATTCGAGTTTTCGGGTCGATTCGGGTAAAGATTTTTCCGATTTCGGGTAGATAGGTTTAGAACCCGCTTAAGAACCGAAATATTTTTGGTTCAAATTGGTTCAGGTGTATTAGAGTTCGGTTAGTTCTCAAAATTTCATTGAAACCGACATAAAACCAAAACATTTTGGTTTGGTTTATGGACTTCAATTACATGAAAAAAATTCGAATAATTTACCAAAAAATTTCTAATAGATATCCAAAAATCCTAGTTATCCAACAAAAAAAAACCCGAAACAGAAAAATCCGAAAAAAATTATTTGTATGTATAGTTTCGGGTTTTATGGGTATCTATTTGAGTTTCGTCTTTTATGGGTATTTGTTCCGATTTCAGGTTTTTTTCGGATATCTGTACAGGAATCAGAGTCTATCCGAACCGAATTGAAAACCAAAAAAGTTTATAATTTAAGATCCGTTCGGGAAATATTGGCTATCCAAAACCGAACCGAACCGAACTAAAACCGAACCTGCTGTATATTTGTTTGTTAATCAGCTTAATATAACTCTTTATCCAAACCAAAGACTAAAACCAGAACAAGCATAAACTTGTATCCAAACAGGGTTTTCAATTGGCTCCTTCAACAACACTCAAATCGCAGGGAAGAAGAAGAAACCAGATTCTTCTCTTTCTCTTCAATGGCGAAACTTACGACGGACTCTCCTCTCTGCCGGAAAATTGTCCGTTCTTTCTTAGATTTTCTAAATTCCGGTAATCACCAATCACTTTTCATGAATTTACGTGATCGATTCTCATTTTCGTATCAGGGTTTGATTTAGACGTGATATTTAGGGTTTTATCTTTTATGTATTTGTTGTTCTTGTAGTTGAGGTTGCTCAAGGTGTTGATGAAGAAGGTCTTGAGGTTGCTAGAGAATGTTTAGGAGAAGCTTTTAAAGTTCATTCAGATTCTTCAAGAGATGATAGCTTGAAACCCATTTCACTTGTTAATTTGTTCTCTTCATTGGACAAAAATGAACCTCAAGAAAATTTACCACCACCACCACCACCTGTTGCTGCTACTCAGGATCCTAGTTCCTCTTCAGGTCCTGACTTTTCAGGTTCTCATGACTCCGTTGGTACGAGTAAAGAGCCTGTTTTTACTGGTGAGTATGGTTTGTTTCGTGTTCGTTGGACCAATGTGAGTACTGGCTAGTGTAATTGAACTTGTTCTGATTTATATTGTGGATTATGATACTTGTAGGGACTTCTAGAGATGAACTCTTTGGTCAACTCTTTGGTGCGCTTGAGAAAGTACGGTATTTCAGGAATACACCTGACGGAGATGATGATCCTGCTCAGCTGGAAAAAGCTACTAGGATATTTCATGATGCTGTCAATGTAGGTTTGATTTCGTTTAAGGTTTACTACTACTTGGTAATGAGTTTGGTGATAAGTTTCGTATCTGTATATCAGGAAATGGAAAAGTCTGGATGCCAGACGTTTGATGTGAAAAGCTTGGCAGAAACACTCAAGTGCCAAGGTACTTGTGATTTCTTGTGTTATCTTGTTAATGAATAATATAATTGTCATAGTGAAACTGTTGTGATTTCGATTTGCGAATGAATTTGGTAGCTGCCTTTACAATAGTAGTCCATTTCTTTGAAATCGTTGGAACCTCTTCCTTATTCTTTTAGTTGTTCTCTCAAGCCTATGTTAGAATGGGATCGATGAAAGTCTGTCTTTGGGTCCTTGTTACCTCTATGTGACATTCGCTGCCTTTCAGGTAACAAGGCTATGCAGTCCAATCTTTATCTGGAGGCAATCGAGCTGTATTCTTTTGCAATTGCACTGACGGATAAGAACGCTGTTTTCTACTGCAACAGGTGAGTGATAAGTCTTCAACTTGATTTATCTAGAAACTGAAAGTTGTAGCTCTTTGGTGGTGTGCTTCCTGCATAATCTGATTTTGATGTGCTTAGAGATTTTTTTTCACTTGTCCAATGATTTACTTATTTTAAAAGAATAATCATTTATCAGGGCCGCTGCATATACCCAGATCAACATGTGCTCAGAAGCAATTAAGGACTGTCTTAAATCCATTGAGATTGATCCAAATTATAGCAAGGCGTACAGCCGTCTTGGGTTAGCATATTATGCTCAAGGAAAGTATGCCGAGGCTATCGAGAAAGGGTTTAAGAAAGGTATGTATGTATATGTAGAAATAATCGGAACTTCTTGGTTAAGTTAGCATATTCCTTTCGTAGGATCGATTGCTTTAGAAAAAGGCTAGAACATTGCTTCTCCAAGTTAGCTAGCATTTATTCTGTCTAACCTTTTTCATCACACTCATGGCAGCTTTGCAGTTGGATCCGCATAACGAATCTGTGAAAGAAAATATCAGGGTCGGGTACTTTTGATACATTTCTCCTTTTTAATATGATCATTATGTGACTTAAATGAGAGTCTGATATTGAAATGTTGTGAAACACAGGTGGCTGAACAAAAAATAAGAGAAGAACAGCAACGACAGAGACGCAGTCAGGTAGTTACACGTCTGACTCTGAGTCATCTCATGGATTATAAATAAGACAGAAACCAAAGGAACTAATATTTTTGTGGTGTTGGAACAGCAGAACACGAGCACGGGTTACACTCAAGAACCGGAAATGGGAGGAGCCCAGGGAATACCATCTCAGTTCTCGATGCCTTTAAACCCCGATTTGATGAGCATGTTCATGAACATGGCGGGAAACACATTCCCGGGAAATCATTCTCGCAATAACGAGGGAGGAGCAGGAGGAGATGGTAACAGAAATGGTGCGGATGAGCCTGAGATTCGTGTAGGTGGAAATATCAACATAGATCTCGGAGGCACAGAGCAAATGCCGGAAGATTTATCGGGTGCATTACGATCAATGATGCAGATGTTTGGAGGATCAATGGGAGGCAGTGGTAACAATAATACTCATGATACTAATGGTGCACAAGGAAGACCATCTGGGAATTAACCTTGGAATCATTGTTTTATTGGTTTGTGAGTTTGTGCTACAAAAACTTTGTTAGGTTTTGAATTTGAACATGTAGTGAAGTAACATGTTATTATAAAATGATTATGGGAGACTAATGGCTTCTTGTTGATAAAACCTTTTGCATTACACTTGAAATACAGTATTTGGATGATGAATTTGAGCAAGTGAGAGTACTCAGAAACATAAGGTAAATTGTTACTACTACTATACAACTGAAAAGCCAAACCAACCTTATCAAAACAGTACCAAGCCGATAACAAACACGTCATCGAAGATCTAAAATAGAAACTCTGAAGAAGATGTAGAGTATCGGCGGGTATATACACAGTAGTAGAAGAAGCACTCACAGCAAAGCGACAGCAGAAGAGGGTTGAAGCGAGCGGATCCTGATATCATACTTCGTAACACTACCAATCCTAGGCGATGTTGGAACCGAGTTTTGTGTTACAAGCGCGTACTCAGGAGCCTTCTCTTGAGAAGCATTGCCGATATAATTATTACATTTGCGACAGAGAAGCTTAGTTCTGTGTCTGAATAAACCCCAAGAGTATCTAGAGAAGTGAGGCATGCATTGGAACTCATCGACCTGACTGAATCTACCCTCGTCGATGTTGAAGAAGGAAATGATCCCACTCTTCATGGATTTACCGTACTTTGATCCGATTGATGATGTGATTCGATTCGTGGAGCTCAGGTTTAGTTCATACCCACAAGATCCACAACTACAAGAAAGTTCAAAGACAATTGTTCAGTCTAAGTTATTATCTAAAAAGAACAACCATCACAATCATAAACCAATTCAAAATCAACAATCAAAACCCTAGCCTACATGTGAGATTCAACACAACAATCAAATCAAATTGATTTATCTAAATACGTAAACATCAAAATTATCAAAATCTTCCAAAGAAGAATGATTTATCTTTTTACACTTACAAAGAAAAAGAGTTTCTGTCTGAATGCAGATTTTTTACTAAATTCAGTAAAAAAATAAGAACCTTTGCTTCATTTTTTTACTACGATTTTTGATCTAAATATAAGTAATTCAAAATCAAAAATCAAAACCCTAAATCAAGAAACCTAGACTAAGCCACAAGATTCAGTAAAAGAATCAAATCAAAATTGATGTGTAAGCAATAGATACCTGTAATTAACATGTCTCATGGAAGAAGATGAAGAGAAAGACGGAGAATAGAATTGGTTGCCACCAAAACGGTCGGCGTTAACACCCACCGACGCCGATCTCTCCATCGTCGTCGAGATCACTCAACAACGCCGCAAATGGTAATACTTTATGTGATTGGGATCAAAGTAAGGACAAAACTTCGATTAGGTTGATGAAGACGAACGTGTCCCAATCGATTCGGGTGACTTTAACTACTTCTTCTCCACGACCAATGTCGTGGTCGCAGTTTCTAGTAACGATCGAATTTGATTGAAGCAGTAACCAGAGATCTCTTTTTGTTTTTGTTAATTTATTTCTTTTTAGTTTCAAATGCATTTATGACCTAATTGTATTTTTGTTTTGACTTTTGACTCCTGACGTGGATTTCTTTAATGATTTTTTTCAACATTTTTGCCGATTCATAAAAATATTAATTTGGTATAAGCTAGATTATTTGAAAATAATAATTTTAGTAAGACAAAAAATTAATATCACGCTACTCTTAAACAATCGTCTAAAATCATATATACGTCGTTTTAGTGTGTATTTTTTTTTTCAATTTTTAAGTAAGTTTAATCTCTATATACATAGTTATAAACTTTTATCTATTTTTCTGATATAAATTGAATAAATATTTTATCTAACTTTTGTTTAAGATTTAACATTTTCATTTGTCCAAAAAATATTTATAGAATTTAAATATATAATATTATATTTCTAATGTTTATGTTATAAAACGTTTAAAACCGTCTAGATCCATATAATGAGTTTTAAGCGCTAGCCACTATGTTACTGCATGGATGTAGATAGTATTGGGTGTAGGTAGATAGCCACGCTACACGTGGTTTAGCGTGGTTTGTTGCATACTTTTTTTTTAGATGTTAAATCATTATGAATATATTAAAACTTTAAAATATGGTAGAGGATAATGAAAAAATTATTATTTATGGATGATGAATAATGTAAGTTACATTTAAAAAAATATGGTCAATATGATTTTTATATTGGAAGTTACAATTTTTGTAAATTTAGTAAGCTACTACAGGAAAACATGTCTTTTGCGACTACTATTTGTGACTCTTCTTTTGGTCGCAAATATTTGCGACGCTTTTGTTACGATATAGTGACTTATTAACGACTACGGCAAAACTAGATGCATATTTGTCGCTAATATACGACGCCATTGTATAGTCTGAGAACGGTCATACATACACGACCTTTTTACGATACTTTTGCAACCCTAAAGACATCCAATTTTTTTTGTCTGAAATTTCTTCATAGTCACAAAAGAGTCGTAAATTTACAACTTATTTGCCTCTCTTTAGAGACTCGTTCTGTTCTTAAACTTGTAATTTGATAAAATATAATGTGTAATATGTTAAGTAACCATATTTTGCATTGTTTTTAACTAATACATTGAAAGATTACTTGTTAATGTTTTAATTTTACATGTTTATAACTAAATCTTTGTAACAACCTATCATGTGGAAGATGTTACATAGACTTTAAAAGAGAATGATCTTAATCTATGTAAGTTTAAAAATAAACTTACCAAATCATTGTTTTATCACTTAAAATGAAAGATATACTTCACAAATGGACTCTGGAGTGATATATAATACTTATACTAATGTATTTTGATCTTAATGTTGAGAAATCATAAATATTGGTTTGTGACTCATACACGAACGTCGCAAAAGTGTGTCTCTTTGCGATTACTTTGCCACTGCCTAGTGTTACAACGAATGTGCTACTCTTTACTGACTACTTTGTTACGTATTTTGCGACGACGTTGCCTCGATTAGACGACTTATCTAACAAATCTAAAATAATGTCTTGTGACTCATGAGTGTGGTCACAAAAGTGTCACTCTATTGCGACTCTATTGCTACGCTATAATTATTTTTTCTTTTGTTCTTAGTTGTGGTACTAACCTGTGACGTATTTTGCGACTACTTGTGCAACCAGATTGCGACCGACTTGGGACCGGTTTGTGATTTTTACCAAAATTTAGGGTTTTCGATTAGGCGGCAATTAATCCCTCGTGTTTTTTTAGTTGCGACTAAGTTGACACGATTTTGCGACTCCATTTCTTTTATGTCTACCACTGAAAAGTCACAAACACAAACACTTAGCTTCTTTCTTCGATTTCTCCGCTTCTTCTTCGATTTCTCCGCATCCTTCGATTTCTTTGATCTCTTCTCTTCGATTCTTCCTCTTTTCTCTTCGATTCTTCCTCTCTTCGATTCGATTACTCTTCTCTTCGAGACTGATTTCTTCTCGAAGATTCTTCCTCTCTTTTCTTCGGTTCTTCTTCGATTCTTCCTCTCCTCTTCGATTCGTTTCTCACTCCTTTCTCTCTCTGTTCTCTGTAATGGCGCCTGCTGGAAAGGGGAAAGCAAGTAGAGGCCGTGGTGGTGGGAGATCCGGTGTTTGAGTTTTCAAAGGTCGAAACCCTAAACTTGTTGTCGTTGTCTTCTCATGCCTCCAATCCTTCGTTTTCAAACGCAACTGTTCCGAGTCAAACAGCTTCGGTGAGTCAAACATCTAGGGCAACTGTTCCGAGTCAATATCCGGCGTCGTCACAACCACCACCTCCTGCTCGTCTTCCATCACCGCAAGTTAGTCATCAACAGCCGCCTCCTCATCAACAGCCTCCTCCTAATTATCAGCAGCCGCCTCCTAATTATCAGCAGCCGCCTCCTAATTATCAGCAGCCGACTCATAGTTATCAACAGCCGCCTCTTTATCAATCGTCGGGTCCTTATCATCAACCTCCTCCTTATCAGGTACAAAATACAGAATCTTCTTATCAGGTATGAGCATCTCAAGTACATTAGAGCTCGTATGGAGAAGCTCAATATCAAATCAGGGATTATACAAGTTTTAAGGCTCAAAGAATGTCTCTTTTGTTCTTGTCTCAGTTGTGTGAGACCTTTCTTAGAAATTTGGTCTGAAAATCTTAAAGTTTGGCAATTAGATTGTATTGAAACTTGAGATGTGAATGAGGAAGGCCTGAGATTGGTGTTCTTGTTGCAATTGCTAAGTCATTATGGGATTGATCATTAAGCTCAAAGTTCCCAAATTTCAGAAAGGGTTGGGAAATCTGATCCTTGTATCTAGTTTTGTCTGTAGAGAGGTGAATCAGAGATATCAATGTCAGTTCTTGTGTTATGTGAGACTTTTCTTGGAAATATTGTTAAAGTTTAGTAATTACAAGTAATGTGTTGAGATGTGTATGAGGAAGACTGGAGAATTTTCCTTTTTTCTTGTCTAACTTGTTACCTTCTTGTTGTATCTTCTTCAGGACCAAGTCCCTCAGCAGATTCCCCAACCTCAGATGCCTCCTCAGGAAAACCCTAATGCTCCACCGCCTGACTACCAGCAGATGTTAGAGAATTTTTTGGTTCTGCTTGGCCGAGAGCATCTTCCACGTCTGAGAAAAGTTCCAATTCCAGGCGTTGAGACTATATGGTATAAACCTCCTCTGTAATCCTTTTCTTGTTTAGCTTAGTGTTTTTCATTAAATTAGTTCTCATGTGTTAATGTTCTAGCTTGATAATCATAAATTAAGGCTATTAGGTTAATCATTGTCTGTTTAGATCACTTGTTCATTGTGTGTCTTACTAATGGTCTAATGTCTGTTTTAATCAAATTTCTTACTAATTGTTTGTTATCTTATGTCTAATGTCTGTTTTTATCTATAGGTTTGGCCGAGACAAAGGAGTATTGTCTAGGAGTATTGCTGGAATATTTTGGAGAAAATTTGATGGACCTTACTATAGTTGGAAAATGACTCCTACAGCCATTCAAGAGCGATATTTCAGATCATTTGCGGTAATGTTTGATATTCCTTTCAATGTGTAATAGTATATGTTGCAATGAATTAGTATGAGTTATACTAATTCATACTAATCTGTGTAGGGGAAGTTCAATTGGGATATCGGGATTACGGAGCTAGTCAGAGAAGGATTCTTGGTCATCGCCAAGAAAAGGCTTAAAGGAATTGTTAGTCAAGCGAAGCAAACTGGTGTACAACCGTATTGGATTACTAGTAATGAACTGTGGGCACAGATGTGTGTTTATTGGAAAACTGAGGAAGCAATGGAGCGGAGTGAAAATGCATCACAGTGCAGAAACAGTGATCGTAATGGTCTTGGAGTCCACAAACACGTATCAGGGCAAAAATCATTCATGCAAGTTCACTAAGAGCTGGTATGAATCTATATAACCTTTCACTTAGATCACTATATGTTGTTACCTCTATTCTGTGATATTAATGATGTCTTTGTATCATTATAGGAGGAAGAATTGGGGCATCCTGTGTCATATGGAGAAGTGTTTATGAAAACACACACAAGAGCAGATGGTACTTTTGTGGATGCTAAAGCCAAACAAGTAGCTGAGGTCTATAATAAGAGCATAGAAGAGAGACTGTCTGAACTGGAAAAAGATGGTGAAGACGCTTCAGATGATTCCTCTCAGCAGTCAACTCACCGGACTCTCACCAAGAAGAAAAGAATGAACTCTTTCTTAAGGTAATTTCGTGTAAGTTTTTGTTTAGAGTTTGCATATCATCATCACTGTTTGGTAATCATATATAGAATCAGTCCATGTTTTATGATTAATACTTGAATGATTCTGTTTTTGATGAGCAATACTTGAATGACTCTATTTGCTAATACTTGAATACTTTGACTGATTCTATTTTAGCTTCAGCATGATTATGTTTTTTTTTTTCTTAAGTGTACTGAAACAGATGTGAAGGGGAACTATTTTGGCATTGGATCTCTTAAGGTGACCCTTAAGAAAGGGAAAAGAAAAGAAAGCTATGCTAGCAACTCTTCTTCCTCCATTACCGAGCTTCATGATCAACTTCGTCAAAAGATGGCTGAGCACGACGCAGAGAATGCTCGACGTGATGCGGAGCAACAAGCATCTCAAACTCGGATTGCAAACTTAGAGAGGCTTGTAATGTATTGGAAAGAGAGTGATCCTGCCTTTGCAGCTTTTGTTGCATCTCAGCCACAACCAACTGCACCAGCCACCACACCAGCCGCCAATGCAACAGCCACCGCCAATGCACCAGTCACTGCCAATGCACCAGCCACAGCCGCCACTGCACAAAACGGAGAAGAAATCACAGGAGAAACCACTCCA